ATATATATATATATATATATATATATATATATATATATATATATATATATATATATGCATGCTGTCTACAAGAGACCCACTTCAGGCCTAGGGACACCTACAGACTGAAAACTGAAGGGATGGAAAAAGATACTCCATGCAAATGGAAATCAAAAGAAAGCTGGAGTAGCAATATTCGTATAAGATAAAACAGACTTTAAAATAAAGACTGTTACAAGAGATAAGGATGGACACTACATAATGATAAAGGGATCAATCCAAGAAGAAGATGTAAAAACTATAAATGTTTATGCACCCAACACAGGAGCACCTCAATACATAAGGCAAATGCTAACAACCATGAAAGGAGAAATCGACAGTAACACAATAATAGTAGGGGATTTAACACCCCACTTACACCAATGGACAGATCATCCAAACAGATAATAAATAAGGAAACACAAGCTTTAATTGACACAACAGACCAGATAGATTTAATTGATATTTATACAACATTCCACCTGAAAGTGGCAGAATACACTTTCTTCCTAGGTGCACACAGAACATTCTCCAGGATAGATGACATCTTGGGTTACAAATCAAGCCTCGGAAAATTTAAGAAAACTGAAATCGTATCAAGCATCTTTTCTGACCACAATGCTAAGACACTGGAAATTAATTACAGGAAAAAGACTGTAAAAAACACAAATATATGGTGGCTAAACAGTGCACTACTAAATAAGCAAGAGATCACTGAAGAAATCAAAGAAGAAATCAAAAAATACCTAGAAACTAATGACAATGAAAACATGATGACCCAAAACCTATGGGGATGCAGTAAAAGCAGTTCCAAGAGCGAAGTCTGTAGCAATTCAATCTCACCTCAAGAAACAAGGAAAATCTCAAATAAACAATCTAACCCTACATCTAAGGCAACTAGAGAAAGAAGAACGAAGAAAACCCAAAGTCAGTAGAAGGAAAGAAATCATAAAGATCAGAGCAGAAATAAATGAAATAGAAATGAAGAAAACAATAGCAAAGATCAGTAAAACTAAAAGCTGGTTCTTTAAGAAGATAAACAAAATTGATAAACCGTTAGCCAGCTTCATCAAGAAAAAAAGGGAGAGGATGCAAATCAATAAAATTAGAAATGAAAAAGGTGAAAGCACAACTGACATTGTAGAAATACAAAGGATTATAAGAGACTACTACAAACAACTATATGCCAATAAAATGGACAACCACGAAGAAATGGACAAATTCTTGGAAAGGCACAATTTTCCAAGACTGAACCTGGAAGAATTAGAAAATATAAACAGACCTATCCCAAGTAATGAAATTGCAACTGTAATTAAAAATCTTCCAACAAACAGAAGTCTAGGACCAGATGGCTTCACAGGTGAATTCTATCAAACATTTACGGAAGATCGGACAACAATTCTTCTCAAATTCTTCCAAAAAACTGCAGAAGGAGAAACACTACCAAATACATTCTACAAAGCCACCGTCACCCTGATACCAAAACCAGACAAAGATACCACAAACAAAAAAAATTATGGACCAATATCACTGATGAATATCGATGCAAAAATCCTCAAAAAAATACTAGCAAACAGAATCCAACAACATATTAAAAGGATCATACACTATGATCAAGTGTGATTTATCCAAGGGATGCAAGGATTCTTCATCATATGCAAATCAATCAATGTGATACACCATATTAACAAATTAAGGAATAAAAACCATATGATCGGGCTTCCCTGGTGGCGCAGTGGTAGACAGTCCACCTGCCGATGCAGGGGACACGGGTTCGTGTCCGGGAAGATCCCACATGCCACGGAGAGGCTAGGCCCATGAGCCATGGCCGCTGAGCAGCTAGGCCCATGAGCCACGTGCCGCGGAGCGGCTAGGCCCACGAGCCATGGCTGCTGAGCCTGCGTGTCCGGAGCCACAGCAAGATCTTTTTTGACCCACCTCCTAGAATAAAATAAAATACAAAATAAAAGACAAAAATAAACAAATTGGACCTAATTAAACTTAAAAGCTTTTGCACAGCAAAGGAAACCATAAACAAGATGAAAAGACAACCCTCAGAATGGGAGAAAATATCTGCACATGAAACAACTGACAAAGGATTAATCTCCAAAATATACAAACAGCTCACGGAACTCAATATCAAAAAAGCAAACAACACAATCCAAAAATGGGCAGAAGACCTAAATAGACATTTCTCCAAAGAAGACATACAGATGGCCAAGAGGCACATGAAAAGATGCTCAACATCACTAATTATTAGAGAAATGCAAATCAAAGCTACAATGAGGTATCACCTGACACCAGTCAGAACGGCCATTATCAAAAAATCTAGAAACAATAAATGCTGGAAAGGGTGTGGAGAAAAGGGAACCCTCTTGCACTGTTGGTGGGAATGTAAATTTATACAGCCACTATGGAGAACAGTATGGAGGTTCCTTAAAAAACTAAAAATGGAACTACCACATGACTCAGCAATCCCACTATTGGGCATACACCCTAAGAAAACCATAATTCAAAAAGAGACATGTACCACAATGTTCACTGCAGCACTGTTTACAATAGCCAAGACATGGAAGCAACCTCAATGTCCATCGACAGAGGAATGGATAAAGAAGATGTGGCACATATATACAATGGAATATTATTCAGCCATAAAAAGAAACAAAATTGAGTTATCTGTAGTGAGCTGGATGGACCTAGGGTCTGTCATATATAGTGAAGTAAGTCAGAAAGAGAAAAACAAATACTGTATGGTAACACATATATATGGAATCTAAAAAAAAAATGGTTCTGAAGAACCTAGGGGCAGGACAGGAATAAAGAGGCAGATGTAGGGAATGGACTTGAGGACACAGGGAAGGGGAAGGGTAAGCTGGGACAAAGTGAGAGAGTAGCATTGACATATACACACTACCAAATGTAAAATAGACAGCTAGTGGGGAGCAGCCGCATAGCACAGGGAGATCAGCTCGGTGCTTTGCAATGACCTAGAGGGGTGGGATAGGGAGGGTGGGAGGGAGGCTCAAGAGGGCGGGGATATGGAGATATATGTATGCATATGGCTGATTCACTTTGTTGTACAACAGAAACTAACACAGTACTATGAAGCAATTATACTCCAATAAAGATGTATTAAAAATATATTCTGTAATAACCTAAATGGGAAAAGAATTTGGAAAAGAATAGATATATGTATATGTAGAACTGAATCCCTTTGCTATCCACCTTTGCTGTAACACAACATTGTAAATCAACTATACTCCAATATAAAATAAAAATTAAAAAAATACAATGAAATAAAAACCACACAATTAAAATATACTCCATATATGCTTCTATAAATAAATTAGGGAATATGAATATGAGATTTATTTGCTCAGTGAAGAGTCCAGTTAGATCCTGGGGAAGGAAATTTGCAACTTTAATGATGGCAGAGGAAGTCAACAATCTCAGATACATGAGGCTGAAGTTTAGCAGCAGATACTAAAATGAACAGATCTGGGGGTTTCAGCTGACCTTAAATTCAATATACATCAGTGGTGTGAAGTGGCTTCTCGGGAAGTTCATTCAGTATCAGTCACATTAAAGAAATGTAGTCCTTGCTGTATTTGGCAGACCTTGAGAAGTATGGTCTGTTTTGGGCAGTAGGCTTCAGGGATGATAGTGACAAACCAGAACGGATCAAGGAAGAAGACTTCAGGATGATTATGCAAGTTGGAACCATTTCAGATGAGGCCCATAAGGACCTGCAATATAACTGTGTATGTGGGGCAGACCTGGCTACAAGTATGTGAAGGGCAGCCACCGGGAAAAACAACCACAAAGAGCTCATCAAACCCCATGAGGACAAATCTAAAACCAAGTGGAAGTTAAAGGTTTGAGGTCAAACATTTTCTAAACTCACAGAGCAATCCAACATCAGAATGGATTCTCTGTGGAACAGGAAGCCTGGAAGAGAAGTTCAAGAAGTGGAGGCTGGAGTGGCATTAGACAGGGACACTGGGGAGGGAGTGTTGTCCTGTTTGGGCCAGAGGGCTCTCGGGGCTCCTTCAGCTGATTCCCTCTTTTCCTGCTGCTAGTGAGCCTTCTTCCTTCGGGAATGCTTAGCTGGGTTGAGCTAAGGTTTTATAAATTAGCCATGGGTAAGCTGTCACAATTAGAGGTAACGCAGCGTCCATCTGCTCCCAAATCGCAAACCTTACTGAAGTCGTACCTTCTCCCTTGTGAAACCTAACCTCTGAGGATTGTCACACTCACGTCAGAGCCATGCCACATTTTAGCCATGACAGCTTTGCTCTTTCATTGGCTCTCAAACTGATTTATAGGCACAAGCCAGTAGTCTTCTCAGATGTGTAAGATAAGCTTGCAGGATTGCCTTTTTCCTTCTGGGTCAGTGCTTCCACTCTGGGGTCACCAGGCTCCCTTTCTCCCCGCCGGTATCCCACCGCTTCCCTCACTCTACCCTCCCTCTTCATGCCATGCCGCTGAAGGGAGAATTCTCATTACTGGCTCAAGGAAGGTCATTTTAGGCCTTTGCAGGTATCTCAATTGCCTGTGTCCGTTCTGCTTGCCCCATGGCATGTCCTGGGGTGAGAGCATGGCGAGGAATCTGAGAAGGGTGTTGGGAGATCAGGCCTCCTACCTTGACAGGTGAAGCATCTGATGTGGAAATGGTTATTGTGGACGCGAACCACCTCCCCTTTGCAGGTGTCTCCACATCGATAGCACTGGATGACACTGGAGCTGCCCCGGGGATTGTAAGGATTCTGCTGATAAGGAACTGTAAAGAGAAACAAAGAGATCACCATCCAGAAGGTCCTTATTCTTTAAAAAGTCTGCCAAAAGAAATGATTATAATCTTAACTGGCAGAAAAAGCAGAAAGGGTGAAAATGATTAGCAAAATACCTTCAATACATCATCAGGCTGAGTATGCCAAGCTAAGACATCTTTAGAAGGCGAGTGGCATTAAGATATGAGTCCATAAATCTCCTAAGTAGGCAGAGACTTATGAGTGAGCATAACCTTTTCTTGCAATAATGGAGGCCAAATTCAAAAATGAAGAAAAATAAAAGAGGAAGTTGAGTATTCCAAGGTAAATGATCCAGAAATACTATTTCTTGGGAGATCTCTGGATCAATACCAGGCCCCAAACAAAGGGAATTTAGGTCTTGCCATTGACTCCTGGGTCTCAAGGAAATGGGTGGCTGACTCTGCCTCCAAATGGCCTTTTTGTTGAGCAAGATACAGCCCCTCTCGGCACCTCAGTTTATACATCTATAAAATGATGGACAATGGTAGCTGACTTTCTATAAAGGCATGAAGGGAGGCACTCTAGTTGGAAGGAAGTTGATGAGGCAACTCACCATACAACTGCCTTTGAACAGCACTTTCCATAACATTGAGAAAATGTCACATGTGTATACTTAAGAATAAAGAGCTGTTGGAGACTATGAAGGGGCTGAAGTCACTGGGCTTGCAGTGCTATGGTCAGCATTTGATGATGCTGTAGACCTATACTTACCTTTTGAGGTTACTGATCTCTTGCTTAGATTTTCTCATGGCTACTTTTCTAGATTTCCTTTCCCTGAAATATACTTTGCTTGACCATTCTATAAGCTGGTCATCTAGCATTTAATAACAGTAGGCACCTGCCTAGAACATAAAATTTCAGGGTTGGAAGGGATATGAATAGCTGTCTGGTCCAACCGCATTATATATAAACTGTTGAGATAACTTTGCCAGTGAGGAACCCAATCTTCTCTCTTGGAGGAAGTCCCTAGGGGCCCCAGGGAGAGAACCACTCAATTCCTCAATTTTTACTCAAGGCTGTAGCAATAGTCCACAAACTTCTGCTCATACCCTATTAGGATAAGGCTCACTTTTGTCCTAACTATAAGGATGACCACTTGATTGGAGGCGAATTGGTGTCTAGCATTTAGACATGTAGACTTCCTGGCTAAACTCTGAATAAGCATAATATAAGTTAACCTGGACTCACAGAAACCTTGAACTGCCAAGGAACCTAGAGGTCACCTAGTTCAAGGGTTCTTGACCTAGTGTGGTAGTTGTTGTGGCTGTTCACTGAAATTTCAATCTTTTATTCTTGGCACATGGTGTCTTGCTTGGCAATGAAATGTGAATGGAAATTGTGTCACTTCCAACTGGAAGCCCTAGGAGCCAGTATGGTATCTGCCATATTGCCTTCCTATAGCCCAGCAGCCAGTGATACCCCCAGATGGTGTGCAGGATGCATCAGCTTGGATCCCTGGCTGAGAAGTCCTGGAGCAGAGCTCTAAGCTAACCCAGGATGAACATCTATCATGAGCCAGGAGGAATATTTGATGGCATATCTTCTAAGATTTTTTTGTTACTGTAGCATACCTGACTGATACACCTGATATCTAATATTTCTCTCTAATGAAATATAAAATTTGGTATTATATACATTATCCTACAGCTTTTTTCAGATTCTCGAAGATGATCTCCATAACTGATCTCATCCACCCTCCTCCTTTTAAAGTCAAGGCACAGGAAAGCAGGACTTTCAATTACCTCCCACATCTTGAATCATAAGTGCACGGTAGGGCAAAGAGCTGGTTGCTTAGCCCTGAAATTACTATTGCTGACAACTTTGCTACCTGAGGTGGGAGAATAATATCTTTCTTACAGTCTTTCTCTCAAGGAGTTCATGTCCCTTATTTAACTCTTTTTTTTTCTGTCTTAAATTTAAGACAAAAGTTAAATGAGTTAGCTAGTTAACTAAAATATTAATTCACTCAGTAAATGGGTTAATACATGTAAAGCATTTCAAAACGTGCATGAAGTGCTCCACAAATGTATCCAATGCTCCACTGGTATCATGACCATCACATCCTCCCCAGAGCTCAGAGCAATCTTTCTCCACCCCCAGAATGTCCACAAACATTCTCCTTAATCCTGTCTCTTTTGCTTCTTTTTCTGATTCCTGCTTAATGTCCCCGGGAATATATTTCACTCTCCCGTCTCCCCCCTCCCCCCAATTTTGGAGAAAAATATAGATTCTATTTATATGAGCAGTGTAATGATCTACTACTGCTAAGGGAAACAAAGCCGTGAGTCTGAAAATAAAATAGGAATAGTATAATCATCACCATCAATAATGAGAGCTCTTGAAAGTATCCAAAGTCCCTCCAGAATCACTACGCAAACTTTCATCTACCTCTTCTAATTGATCCCACCTTATTGCTCAAGAACCAGCAAGATCAATTAAATTTTTCATAATTTGATTTTCTGGGGAGATGGATTAGTGATCATGGTTTTCAGTCAAAACTCAATCTTTGAACCATTCAAATGAAAAGCCATAAAATCAGAGTGAGGGGATGGATTGGGAAAACAGACCTTCTGGGGCAGAGTACCCATGGTCTCCCAGCCCTAACTCTACTGCTCTCTTCAGGATGAGGGTACTGTTATGGTGATGCTGACTGTGACCAGAGTCCACAAATGTCTGACGTTTATAAATAGTCCCATAAACAGAAATGCATGCATCGTTGGTGTGAGTTCTTCCAGATTGCTGATGTAAGCCGTGACTATAAAAGGTCAGCGGTGTAGCATGATTTGAGCTTACGGACATGTGAAGACCTATCCTTATCCAGACGGTGCCAATAGGAACTCTGGGGATCAAGGGAAGCTCCACTGAGATATGCCACATCTGCTCTTGTACTGGAAGCCACCTCATTTTCAATAAGATTTTGTATTCTCAGTTAAGTCAGCAACTTAATCTAACCTTATTATGTGTGTGTATGGGGGGGGGGGGGCGGGGATATCTCTTCCCTCCAATCTATAAAACCCTCTGAAACTCTAAAATTTTACTGTTGATTTTCTGCTGGTTATTATTTCCATTAATTTTTACCTCAAAGTACTAAAATTCAGTAATGTGATTTACAATATTTATCTATGGGCAAATGTCTTTTGAATTCCAAATTGACTTATACATGAAGTTTTAGACTGCTTTGTGTTAGGAACTGCCTATCCTTGAGAGCAACATTTGAAAGCAGGACATTAGTTCTTCAAAGCCTCAAAGGACATTAGCTCTTCTCACTTGTGAAATAATCCATGAAGTTACCATGTTTAGACATATGGGTCATGTGCTATATTTCTAAAATGCATGTAAGGAACCTCTGGCTTCTGTTTCATGTTAGTTGGCCAAAAAGTGTACCCAGGAGAGTCATTCCCAGTTACTAGTCCTTAAGCGGTGATGTCCAAAAGAATTTTCTGAGATATGGAAATGTTCTATATCTACGCTGTCCAATATAATAATCACTAGCCATATGTGGCTGTTGGGCACGTGAAATGTGGCTATTGGGCACTTGAAATGTGGCTAGTGTGACTGAGCTACTGAAATTTTAATTTAATTTTAATTAGCATAAATTTACATAGCAATAGCCACATGTGACTAGTTGTTGCCATAGTGGACACGATAGCCTTATAGTTTCACAAATGGAACTCGCATTAAGAATGAAGAAATTAAACTTGGTTGAATCTTATTTATACAAAAATAACATGTATGAATTAATTTGGGAATACCACCTCAGACTTAAGTTATTTCTTTTTATCCCTTAAGAGTTTAAAAATTGTATTTAAAAATAATTTGCAGTAAGAACCAGTTACACACACATTCACCCATCCTGAATTTGATCTGGAGACAAAAGGTTCTGCGCAGTGAAATAAATACTGATTGTTTTTTAAAAGGACAATTTTTCAGGCACTGTAAGACTGAACAGTCTTAATCTTTCCAAGAATAAAAGCAAGATAATCAGTTGACAATGGCTATCAGTATACTTTTTAAAAATAAATTTATTTATTTATTCATTTATTTAATTTTTGGCTGCACTGGGTCTTCCCTGCTGCACGCGGGCTTTCTCTAGTTGTTGAGAGTGGGGGCTACTCTTCGTTGCAGTGCGCGGGCTTCTCACTGCGGTGGCTTCTCTTGCTGTGGAGCATGGGCTCTAGGCAAGGAGGCTTCAGTAGTTGTGGCATGTGGGCTCCATAGTTGCGGCTCATGGGCTCTAGCGTGCAGGCTCAGTAGTTGTGGTGCATGGGCTTAGTTGCTCCGTGGCATGTGGGATCTTCCTGGACCAGGGCTTGAACCCATGTCCCCTGCATTGGCAGGCGGATTCTTAACCACTGTGCCACCAGGGAAGCCCCCAGTACAATTTTTTAAGAAAGAAAATCAGCTGGTCAATGACTATGAGATTAAAAATTAAGGGTCTGGGGCTTCCCTGGTGGCGCAGTGGTTGAGAGTCTGCCTGCCGATGCAGGGGACGCGGGTTCGTGCCCCGGTCCGGGAAGATCCCACGTGCCGTGGAGCGGCTGGGCCCGTGAGCCATGGCCGCTGAGCCTGCGCGTCCGGAGGCTGTGCTCCGCGGCGGGAGAGGGCGCAGCAGGGGGGGGGCCCCCGAAAGGCAAAAAAAAAAAAAAAAAATAATAAAAAATTAAGGGTCTGAAACATTAAGTATCCTTCTACATGCTTACCAAATCTTTAGTGTTCTAAAGATGAGAAAATACATCTTAATTCCACAACTAAATTTGCAAGTAAAGCTCTTCCCCAAATGTTACCAAAATAATTTAAAACTGCTGGAACAAAACAACATATTGGAAGGGGAGGGGTTACTGGCCCCTCTGAAGTTAAAAGGAGCACGAGAGTTGAACAATAGCAGGAAACAAATTCAGCATCCAGTTCCTCTACCTGGCTGTTCCTCTCTCCCTCTGTCGTTCCTCATCTTGTGTTTCTCTCTCTGATA